GCTGGTGATAGGGTTGTAGGCTCGGAACGAGAAACGTTCGGAAACTAACTAATCATTTAAGTGGGTGACTGGACACACTAAAGTACATTGAAAAGGTATAACGCGAATTATCGTGATGACTTAGGACAGCTATCAAGCAAGCGACAATACAAACAGTTTCGCAGTAGTTCGTGGGATAAAGTATCAATCGAGCTTGCAATTCAAGACTAGATGAGCGACGAACAACTAACGACGGCAAACGTAATGGCTTGGAGATTGATATCAGGTGCTATCGGTAAAGTTCGACTTATCAAATAAAGATCAAAGCCTACGCAAGATCGTCAAAAGAGTTATACATATGTGGAGCTAGATATATAATTCTAATTACCGCAAAAGTTCGAGCGAAACGGATGAGAAGAAACACGTTCTCTTGAAGAATGTGACACGGATAACTAGGGAGAGATTTAAGATTCGAACGATATGAGACGCTTATTAATCCCTTTTGATTCCTCTCATCAGACCATTTGTAGGACTCCTAGCTACAACCCTAACTAGATTGTTTCCTAATGGTTGATGTACCTCATAAGTCCCATTAATTGGTTGACGAACCGTATCTTGGCCTTCAACTTCTAGAATGTTATAAATATTTAGCATCTTGCACAACGGTAAGGCTACATCGAGTTTGAGACCGATGAACTGTACGGTATTACTAATGGTGCCGCTGATATTAAGGTTCCACAAGCAGTACTTCCTAGTACTACCTCAGATTTGAATTGAATAAGTAATTTCGAATTCATTACGATAGTAGTTTGACTCGTTACTTAAGTTAATACCAAGTTTGGAACATATAGATCGTTAAGGAAACAATTTATGATATGTTTTAGGTATAGCGACTAAGCTAACACCATTTTGATCGATTTCGAATGTTATTCATTGAAGCGACATGGCTTGAAGATAAGTTATCATATGAATAGAAATCGGTTCCTATTGTCGGCACCAACCTTCTATACTTGCTAGAGACTATACGCACAAGTGATATCTATCATGATAACGAATTCTTCAATCACAAGATTTGAAGGTGTTATGGAGAAACCACCAAGTGGAAGAAGCGACGGATGAGCACGAAAAGAATTTTGGGAAATTGTATTTCCATGTTCGAATAATAGTTGAGAATCTGGGGACCAGATTCTTTTAAGGAGGGAAGAGTGTAACACCCCGTAAATGTGTAAGTTGTTTAAGTTTGAAGATAACATTTTTATTATAGAAAAATAGGATATTTGAATTTAGTTAGTTGATATATGTTAGATATGGGTTTATCATATAACTTGAGGTTGATGGTAATTATCTACAATTATGTCCTCTTTTTGCAATTAAAGTAAAATAGTTTGTTCTATAAGCAAATTTCAGGAAATTCAATCTACGTGGATTGGTTTCCTTCTCCCTTTAGTTTTTTTTTTTTATGTTTATCTCATATTCACTTCTATCTCAACTTATTGCCGACTCTCTCTTTTCCTAATTACCCCATATTTATCTCATTCCTTTACCAGTTCTAGAAATAGCAATATTCATGGTATTTTCCTTTCTCCATGAAAACTCTCGGCCGACCACCCTTTAGAACCTTTGTTCTTCCGATGTTCAATTAGTAAATCTAGAAGTCCCAAAGTAGCAACATGGTTGAAAGATACGGGGCTGAGATGGTGTTCTATTTCCAGCAAATAGGGTCGTGGCCGGAATCCGGCGAAGAAGACAAGTTGTCACTTATAATTCGAATTTCAGGGGTTGGTCCGTTAAAGAATTAATTGAGCGGACGCCTTAAAAGTGGAATCTCGACGATCAGGTCCCATCATTAGAAACCTTACGAGGTTACCTTTCTGTTGGTGGTGAAGCTCGATGGCTTGCACCGACGCCGGTCGCCGGAGTTTGGCGAGAAGTCAGCCTGCTCGCTGCGATTTTGGGGAAGCAAAAATCTGCTGTCGCACCTGTTTTCGGAGCCGAAATCAAAGGGTTTTGAATGCGAATTTGGAATCAGTTCCTTCAGGAAACTCGTAGAGGACATCGTAAACTATAAGTGTTGAGTGTAGTAAAGCTCTCACTCAAGGTTTAAGCTTAAAGATGCTTCTATAGCACTTCTATAGCACTAGCGTTGGACTCCAGGTGAGAAACTATGACTCCTTATCCGATTTCTTTCCTGCGCTTAATATCTCCTTTGTTTGAACCAAATATATTCTCCATCTTGAATCCTTTAATGCATTGATTATATTTTTCTTGGAATATGATCCTTAATGTTTTGCGAGCATACTCGTTTCCTTGGCTCGAACTTGGAACCTTGATCTTGTTCTCGAAATCTTGAACTTGTCAATTCTCTTGGTTGCTATGTTCACGGCTAATTCCTATACTTGATTCCCTGGCCCGAACATTTTCCTTGAATCGATATTGAACTATATT